TAATTATTATTATTATTATTATTATTATTTATACCCCGCCCATCTGGCTGGGTTTCCCCAGCCACTCTGGGCAGCTTCCAACAAAACACTAAAATACATAACCTATTAAACATTAAAAGCTTCCCTAAACAGGGCTGCCTTCAGATGTCTTCTGAAAGTTTGGTAGTTATTTTTCTCTTTGACATCTGATGGAAGGGCGTTCCACAGGGCGGGTGCCACTACCGAGAAGGCCCTCTGCCTGGTTCCCTGTAACTTGGCTTCTCATAGTGAGGGAACTGCCAGAAGGCCCTTGGCACTGGACCTCAGTGTCCGGGCAGAATGATGGACGTGGAGACGCTCCTTCAGGTATACTGGACAGAGGGTGTTTAGGGCTTTAAAGGTCAGCACCAACACTTTGAATTGTGCTTGGAAACGTACTGGGAGCCAGTGTTGGTCTTTCAAGACCGGTGTTATATGGTCTCGGCGGCTGCTCCCAGTCACCAGTCTAGCTGCCGCGTTCTGAATTAGTTGTAGTTTCCAGGTCACCAGTAACGCAAAAGTAACAATACTGCCCAGCTTTATAGGGATGTTGTAAAGGTTGCGGAGACAGAGCAATCGATCAGTGTTTTGCATTCATACTGGACCACTGTTATAAATGAGAGAGGAGTGTGGCAGCACGCTAGCTTCCTATTAAACAAAATGCTGCGAGAAGAAATGGCGTATTCTTTGCCGGGGTGGGTGGGCGGGCGGTGAGCAACGAAGACTGGAGAAAGATGAAATGAGAAAGGAATTAAAAAGGTAGCAAAGGAGATGCAAGAGATAACACAGGTTTCACTAGCAGCTGGTGAAACAGAGAAAGTGTATCTATGGTGGCCCAGGGTAGGCTCTGCCACTGATGTGGATGGGCTACAGATTTGGGGACCTTCAAAGGTAGCAAACTGCTCTAATTATACACAGGGGAAGGCTGGCCCAGGCAGCAGAGCCAGAAAGAGCTACTGAGGCAGAATGGAAAGCTCCCAGACACCAGGAACTAAAAGGGGCATGGTTGCCCTCCTCTTTCATTCCACTTCTTTAGCATCCTCCTAAAAGTAAACAGCGTACAAGAATAGTTGGTTCCTCAGAAGGATGGCAAAGACATAGAACGAATAAGACTTTCATTATACCAGAAGACTTTGTTGTTTTGCTCATCACCACCAAAGCACTCCCTGCTCCTATTACCTCAAACAGCTGTTAGCCAGCTCTTCTCCACAATCCCAACAGTTAATTAGCAACAAGAAACAGTAAACATGTACAGCCTGCCACATTTAATTATACTGTAATTTTCTTAAGTTAGAAACAGTGCATTATTCAAATGTATGTCCCTTTTTTTAAAAGAAGAAGGGGAGCAATTTTTTAACCTTACAACTAAAAATGTCTGCGAATTCTATCTTTGACAATTCTAAGATGGTTAAATTGCTTCAGGTGCCTACCACAACTTTACAGAAGGTAAGCCATGTAAGGAACTAATAGGCATTTTAAAATTCCCTATATTTTACTTCACAATGTGATAAATAAAGCTTGGTGATGCTTTCTTTTCTCTTCTCCCAGTCTTGAGAAATTATAGGATGAAATAGTACTTTAAGATATTTCAGTAATTGTTTTTTGTTAGTGTACTAAAACAATTACTTTGCAGAATTGGTGGAGAATTCTGTTGAGAGTAGAGGAAGTAACTATCTTGCCCACCAGCAAAATCCAGTTTCCCACCCCTGAAAACACACACACACACACACACACACACACACACAGATTCGTTTTCCATTCACTCAAATACCTTATTATGCAGACATTTTGGAACTACTGGGCTACCAATAGATTGCAAGCTCTTTAACATTGTTCTTAATAAGCTATCATATTCACTGTTTGTTTTTTTTAATGGGAGATGGCAGATTGTGCTGTGTATACAATGAAAAGGTTGAATACTGCAAAGCACAAAACAGCAACTTGAAAAGAATAAGCTGGTAATTACACCAAATTTCCTTTGCAAGCCTGTTGTAAAGATGTTGAACGAATGCAGTACTTTTTTTCTTTAAAAAAAATGTTTAGGGGTACTCTCATTTTGACTCAAGAAAATCACTATTTTATAGTTCAAATCGGGAAAAATAATTATAGTAAATGGACAAAAGTACAAAGATTCACAAAATGTTTAGGGGTATGCATACCCCTGCGTACCCCCAGAAAAAAAAGCACTGAATGAATGCTTGTGAAATGCTTTATAGGGTTTTAAAATGGTGTCATTCAAAACTGTCCCAACTTTTTTTTCTGCCTGTGACCTTCTAAGCACTAACCAAGGTGCCCTGAGTTTAATGAAACAGCTGTTTTATATACAGGATTTTAAAAACCTCTGTCTTTGAAAGCAGCATGGAATGAAGAACGGTATCCAACTAAGTCATGCTCAGAATAGATCCATTGTGACCAATTGACTTAAGCCTACTTATTACAATGGGTCAATACCCCAAGTATGATTTAGATAGATGATTAATATACTTTGAGTTAAGTATCTGATGTGCTTGTGTTTAGTCAGGGCCAGAAAGCAACACCATAAAGTAGTGTTTCACAAATATTACGCAAAGATTTGGAGACAACGGCTCTTAATAAAAGAATGGAATGGGCAACGGGCTCAGGATTTGCTTTGAATTTAGACATTTCCATGGTTCATTCCCTGTTAACATAGCTCAAAAGTAACAGGACTGGAAAGGTATTTCTGCCTAAGACTCTGGAGAGGCCCTGGCAGTCTCAATTCAGTATAAAGCAGATCAAGATGCTTATTTTATGTGCAGAAGCAAATTACTGGCATTTGCCATGTTAGTACCAGGGAAAATAATACCAAAAAAGGAAGCAGAGATGCCTTTAATTTCATCAGAATCAACTACCTTTTTTGCAGTGGCAGATTAAACATTAATTGCAGCAAAGAGGCAGAATTCAGCAAGCAGCCAACGGCATCTACGTTTCAGATGATCTCTCGTATGAAAACAACGAACAAGCTTGCTAGACCACTCACCTCTCAACTGGCACCCAGACCTATGAAATCTCTCTCCCAGAATCCTCACATTGCCCCCTTCCCTTCAATATTTATAAAAACGAAGATTGCCCTGCTTCAACAGGCCATCAGTACTTCAGTATTGATGCCTTCATTGTTGGTGGATTCTTATGAGTGGAACAGGCAGGTAAGAACAGGTGGCTCACTCCATCTTGTTTCTGCAAAGCCCCGCTGAAATCCATCCCATTTCGTTTCCATGAGGGTTCCTCCCTCGCCAGAGAAATTCTGAAAAATCCTTCAAAATTCCACACAAAAAAGAACTCCACCCACAATTTATCCTCATACTATCCCCCTGAGCGTGATGACACGTCATCAGGTGCTATCATTGTGAGGGGGAATTAGAACAGAGCACAGGGCATAGCAACAGCCCTACCCACAAACTACCGTATTTTTCGCTCTCTAAGACATACTTTTTCCCTCCTAAAAAGTAAGGGGAAATGTGTGTCCGTCTTATGGAGTGAATGCAGGCTGCGCAGCGATCCCTCTTGCTGTTCTGGCTTCAGGGATAGCTGCGCGAAGCCTCTTCATTGCTTTCAAATGTGGGTGAATTAAATGCTGTATGTGCGTGTGATTTCCTTTATTATAAATATCTCACACACATACAATGAAGCAAGGCTGGCTTTGTGAAAACAAACAGAAGCATCATAGAATCATAGAGTTGGAAGAGACCCACGGGTCATCTAGTCCAACCCCTTGCTATGCAGGAATCTCAGCTAAAGCATCCAAGACAGGTGGCCATGCAATCTCTGCTTAAAAACCTCCAAGGAAAAAGAGCCCACCACCTCTCATGGGAGTCTGTTCCACTGCCGAACAGCTCATACTATCAGAAAGTTTCCCCCGAATGTTTAATCGGAATCTTCTTTCTTGCAACTTGAAGCCATTGCCTCGAGTCCTACCCTCCAGAGCAGGAGAAAACAAGCAAGCTCCCTCTTCCATATGACAGCCCTTAAGATATCTGAAGGTGGCTATCATATCTCCACTCAGTCTCCTCTTTTCCAGGCTAAACATGCCCAGCTCCTTCAAGCACTCCTTGTAAGGCTTAGTTTCTCGAACCTTGAGCATCTTGGTTGCCCTCCTCTGCACACGTTCCCGCTTGTCAACATCCTTCTTAAATTGTGGTGCCCAGAATTGGACACAGTATTCCAAGTGTGTTCTGACTAAGGCAGAATAAAAAGGTAAAGGACCCCTGACAGTTAAGTCTAGTCGTGAACGACTCTGGGGTTGTGGCGCTCATCTCGCTTTACTGACTGAGGGAGCCGACGTTTGTCCGCAGTTTTTCCAGGTCATGTGGCCAGCATGACTAAGCCGCTTCTTGCGAACCAGAGTAGCGCATGGAAATGCCGTTTACCTTCCCGCCGGAGTGGTACCTATTTATCTACTTGCACTTTGACGTGCTTTCGAACTGCTAGGTTGGCAGGAGCTGGGACCGAGCAACGTCACGGGGATTCGAACCGCCGACCTTCTGATCGGCAAGCCCTAGGCTCAGTGGTTTAGACCACAGCGCCACCCGTGTCCCAAGGCAGAATAGAGTGGTACTATTACTTCCCTTGATCTGGAAACTACACTTCTTTTAATGAAGCCTAGAATAGCGTTAGCTTTTCAAATCAACACACACCTAAAACCAGTGTAAACCTATCTAAATGACTTTATCAGCAGCTACTTTTTTCAGAATTGTAAAAGGAGCAGGAAATATTGTTTTAACCAAAGTCCTAATGCAAAGTAGCAATGAATCGGGTTGCTTCTGTCCAGCATCGATACCGTGCAGCAGAAATGTACCTCAACAAAAGCATGCCAACATTTAATTATTTGGGCTATTCAACCTAATATCACTCTATGAAATAGCTATTCAGTATATTAAGCTATATGAGGTTATAACACAGTCAAGTAGAACCTTAATTCAATCTGACAATTTCCAGTTAAAAATAGAGCATTATTCTCCATCTACCTTATCTTTGTCTTCCACAACATCTGCCAGGATGTCATCTGGGTCCAGGATTCCTCCATCTGTGTATTCCAGATGGTGAATATTCACCCAATACGAAGGATCCTGCAAATGAAACATAAGTGTATTTTCTCCTTAATTTACCACTTTAGCATGCTTCAGTCAGCAACAGAGTATCAAAATATTTAGTTAAAAACATTATCTTAAAATATGGACGTGTTCAAATAATCTCTCTTCAGAATATTGCGATTATTCTTAAAGAATATAATTAATAGCCATAGATTAAAATGTAAAACAACCATTTTAAAATTCACATTGGGTTGGGATCTGGAGAGGCATGAGCAAGAAAAATTCGATCAGCAGTGGCACTGTGCTAAGAAGCTGAACAAAACCAGTGGAAGACATTTGTGTGATACTGCAAGATACTGGATACTGGGTGATGCACCTTGAGATTGAGACATTAGATGAAACTTTCACTGCACAATGCCTTGCCAAGCAGAAGCACGCCTCTGAATTTCAGCTCTCTTTTCTCGCACATGGGTCTTTCTACAACAATCGCAAATTAAGTCGGAATATCTGTCTCAATAAGCTTTGCAATTTGTATCAAATTGTTTCTGATGATGAAACAGTGACTGTTTTCAGAGGTAACAGCAAACCAGACTTTTGGAATGATGCACTCCCACCATGCATGCGAGGAGGTTACCAGAATCTCCCACTCCTGTTATGCCCCAAATAACTGGCTATTTTATCCAAGGGTGATGAACTATTACCTAAATTAACCAATATCCCAAACCAGGATAAAGGTAAAGGTACCCCTGCCTGTACGGGCCAGTCTTGACAGACTTTAGGGTTGTGCGCCCATCTCACACAAGAGGCCGGGGGCCAGCGCTGTCCGCAGACACTTCCGGGTCACGTGGCCAGCGTGACAAGCTGCATCTGGCGAGCCAGCGCAGCACACGGAACGCCGTTTACCTTCCCGCCAGTAAGCGGTCCCTATTTATCTACTTGCACCCAAGGGTGCTTTCGAACTGCTAGGTTGGCAGGCGCTGGGACCGAGCGACGGGAGCGCACCCCGCCGCGGGGATTCGAACCGCCAACCTTTCGATTGGCAAGTCCTAGGCGCTGAGGCTTTAACCCACAGCGCCACCCGCGTCCCTCCAAACCAGGATATTAGGTTGTAAGCCTATCTAAATGCAACCACTGATTCCCAGCTGTTTTCAATAAGGATCTTGACGTTCAAATTAAAACAAACAAGTGCATCCTCACTGTAATCCAGTGTCACAAGGAAGTTGCATTTTTACCTGGAAGGTTACCTTACATAAACCCTGCTAGTCCAGTTAGCAAAATTCAATAACTAGCAAAATATGGACAAAAGACAGTAACGTTCACAAATAGTTAAAACACCAAGTATTTCCAACTAACCATAGCAGCAACAAAAGCTTCCAGGTCCTCCATCCAAACTGACCACTCTAGGTCAAGCTGGCATGACTAAAGTGATATTACAACTGAGAGGTATACAGTGGTACCTCAGGTTAAGAACTTAATTCGTTCCAGAGGTCCGTTCTTAACCTGAAACTGTTCTTAACCTGAAGCATCACTTTAGCTAATGGGGCCTCCCACTGCCGCCGTGACACTGGAGCACGATTTCTGTTCTCATCCTGAAGCAAAGTTCTTAACCTGAAGCACTATTTCTGGGTTAGGGGAACCTGTAACCTGAAGCGTCTGTAACCCGAGGTACCACTGTATACTGATTGCACAAGTGAACTATACTTCAGTTTCTGCCAGGCATTCCAGAACAGGCATCAAGCAATGTCCAAGATTGGAAACTGAAAGGTGTTGGCATGATAAACAATATTTTCACAGTTCAGCATTCCTGTCCTCTTGGTCATTACAGTACTTTCTGGCAACTCCTTCCTTTTTCATAGTTTCTTCTGATAACTGGATGCCACACATATCTGATAAGACTTACACAGGCAAGCGTTCGCTAATAAACAAGGCAATTATTCCACACTGTTTGAAGAAGCTGTTTACTCTCTCCTTTTTACATAACTTGTTAGATAAAAATTAGTCTAGTTTACAACGGCCATGAACACAAAAGACGGCACTTTGTAATAATAATAAAAAGCAAGCCAAGCGTTCTTCTCTTCTGCAATAGTTCCAACATTTACTATACCTCAACTCAAATAGTTTCTGCTTTTAACAACACCTAGCTCATTTCACATATTTCTACTCACATTTCATAACATCGCAGACTTGCAAGGAACCACAAGGTTCATCAAGTCTCAAATTTTTGCCCAACATGGGGTCAAAACCCCCAACATGAGGTCAAAACCCATGTTGATCGGCACCTGAACCGCTGATCTCATGCATGCATGCATGCATGCAGTACAATTCAAAAGACATGGAAGCCATCTTGCCTTTTGCTGCACACTCCATACATTTTAGGGATGCAGGTGGCGCTGTGGGTTAAACCACAGAGCCTAGGACTTGCCGATCAGAAGGTCGGCGGTTTGAATCCCTGCAACGGGGTGAGCTCCCGTTGCTCGGTCCCTGCTCCTGCCCACCTAGCAGTTCAAAAGCACCTGAAAGTGCAAGTAGATAAATAGGCACCGCTCCGGAGGGAAGGTAAACAGTGTTTCCATGCGCCGCTCTGGTTTGCCAGAAGCGGCTTAGTCATGCTGGCCACATGACCCGGAAGCTGGACGCCGGCTCCCTCGGCCAGTAAAGCAAGATGAGTGCCGCAACCCCAGAGTCGGTAATGACTGGACCTAATGGTCAGGAGTCCCTTTACCCTTTACTTTTACATTTTTATCTGTGTACAGTGGTAAGGTAAAGGTACCCCTGCCCGTACGGGCCAGTCTTGACAGACTCTAGGGTTGTGCGCCCATCTCACTCAAGAGGCCGGGGGCCAGCACTGTCCGGAGACACTTCCGGGTCACGTGGCCAGCGTGACATCGCTGCTCTGGCGAGCCAGAGCCGCACACGGAAACGCCGTTTACCTTCCCGCTAGTAAGCGGTCCCTATTTATCTACTTGGACCCGGGGGTGCTTTCGAACTGCTAGGCTGGCAGGCGCTGGGACCTAACAGCGGGAGCGCACCCCGCTGCGGGGATTCGAACCGCCGACCTTTCAATCGGCATGCCCTAGGCGCTGAGGCTTTTACCCACAGCGCCACCCGCGTCCCCTTGTGTACAGTGGTACCTCGGGTTAAAAACTTAATTCATTCTGGAGGTCTGATCTTAACCTGAAACTGTTCTTAACCTGAAGCACCACTTTCGCTAATGGGGCCTCCTGCTACTGCCGCACTGCCGGAGCACGATTTCTGTTCTCACCCTGAAGCAAAGTTCTTAACCCAAGGTACTATTTCTGGGTAGCGGAGTCTGTAACCTGAAGCGTATGTAACCTGAAGCATATGTAACCTGAGGTACCACTGTAGTAGTTTGGTTTCTTTACAGTTCTATCACTGGCATACCAGTTTTTCAACATTTTAATGAAGCTTCGTGTGGTAATTGCTAAACACCAGAACTTCCCGTCTAGAAGAAGCTATTTCAGAATAAATTGTTAATTAGCGGTACTGGTTTATATATCACATAGTGCTAAGATCACCAAGTACAAATTCTTCCTCAACCTGCTTCCAAATCCTCCTACAGAGTAACTAAATGATAAAGCTTAGGACAGCACTCACTAGATTTGTATTTCATCATTGTTTCCTCTTTTAACCCTTTAATTTTGTGTTCCTCCCTTTCTTCAGTGATCTCAGACATACACAGCTATATGTAACTTTTACTGCAGCATCTCTGCCAAAGCTGTTATGCCTTACATAACTGAGCCTTAGTACTGAAAAAGAGTTTGGAGAGGTGACTGGCTTCAGCCATGGTGAGCTTCTCAGTGGTACCCACTGAACGGACAAAGGTTGTGAACACAGCCCTCTGATGTATGAGTTCTGTTACATCTGTGTGCATAGTTTAATTCCAGAGAAATCAATCTTCTTCTTCTTCTTCATTCAATCAACACTCTTTAAAAGCCAACGGAAATCTGGTCTGGATTCTACCCACCTCCATAGGACATTAGGCGAGAAAAATACCTTACTGTAATTCAAAATGCAATATAAAAACAAGCAATGAGGTGGCATGACAAGATTCATAACTTGTGTTCTGCTAGCATGGAATACAAACATCTCTTTTTCCTAGGATGATAGTTTATTTAGGCAGTCCGTGAAAAGATGAAGTTGTATTATTCCATTTAAATGCACAAAAATTAACATTTTCAATTTATTTTCCAATTGGCTAGTTGCTTCATACAATGAATTAAGGGGAAATAATTGAAGAATAGATCCTTCGGGGGGGGGGGTGTCTCAATATTATAATGTGCTGTAAATATTGACCATTCTCTTATAATCATGAATCTTGCAACCTTTATGGTATCTTAAAAGCTGAACTGAAGAAAAATTCAATAGAACCGGGGTGTATGAGCCTTCTGCAGCTGAAAAACAGGGCAAAAATACTTTAAATAATAAACAAACCTTTCTTATATAAAGAATTTGGAACTGAAAAGCTTGAATATGTATTTTCAAACTAGAATACAAATTAAAGCAACACAGGCCTTGTTTCTTTTAAGTCATGACTTCGAGCCAATTTCATGGGGATTTGAGCAATTGAAGACGAAGAGAGTGTAGTCCTGGCTAGCAGTCAATAAGGTCATGAATAAAGCTCCCACTCAGTGTTTCAGAATCAGACCCAGAAAGGCAAGAATACAGGCCCTTCTTTTCAAGACCAAAGTCTTTGCAGAACCTTGTGGGCTGGATTCACCTAAACCAGGAATAGGCAAACTCCAGCCTTCCAGATGTTTGGGACTACAATTCCCATTATCCCTGACCATTGGTCCTGTTAGCTAGGGATGATGGGAATTGTAGTCCCAAACATCTGGAGGGCCAGAGTTTGCCTATGCCTGACCTAAACAGCCACATAGTGTGTTCTCCTTCACGGAGAGCATGTGTTGCGGTGGGGGCCGCCAGGACACTCCAAAGATGGGGGCGGGCTAATTGACCATTGGCCACTGATGCGATTGGGGCTTCCCTTGTTGTTGGGAAGAAGTTAATGTTGCCAT